AGCAGTTTGGGATAAGCGGTCCCAATAGAGCGGCCGTGTCTATGCACCACCATCTCCAGCTGGTACTCATCCAGATTGACCACGGCTGTGGTGGTCTTCTCAGTGGACGTGAGGAACAGGATGGTAAAGATGGCCATTTCAAACTCAGGACTCACACCAACAAAAGCGCTGGCCACTGGTTTGACCAAACCATGCCAGCTGAACTGCACATTCAAGACATGGTCATCTTCATTAGGCTGCATGGAAGAAAAACAAGTACAGATTCAGCAAAGACTGCACATAGAACAATAAATTATTTTAACATTCTTCAGATTTACTGATGAAAAAAGTACCGCATCATTGTCCCTGGCTTTGTAGCCCTTGTAATCGAGAAGCTCCTGCTTCTCTTGCAGGTAAAACTGGACCCAGTTGTGAAGACCCATGATTTCTCTGCCAAACTTGGTTAGTTTTAGTTTACATAATGTGTGTGTACTGTGTATATTTATTATGTATGCATGTATATATTTAAGAAAAATATGTTATATTTGTATATTAAATATATTTATATATAATATAAATTATATAAATATATACATGTAAATATTTTCAAAATATATACTGTATGAGTGTGTATTTATATATAAATAATAAATATACACAGTACACACACATATATATTATGTAAACCAAAACTTTTATTTTGGATGCGATTAATCGCGATTAATCGTCTGAAAGCACTAATTATTACAGACACACAGGATTTCGATCCCAAGAGTCTTGATGGACTGGAGTCAAATGGATTACTTGTGGATTATTGTGATGTTTTTATTATTCATCCTGCTTCTCTTGCAGGTAAAACTGGACCCAGTTGTGAAGACCCATGATTTCTCTGCCAAACTTGGTTTCCCCAACAAACACATGCTCAAATCCACTGGAGTCCTCCCTTTTTGGCGATATATATTTTTTATAATTAGAGCAGATATGGAATAAAATATACAAATTTTTTATGTTGTACTTAAGTCGCTTACCCTCCATTTCTGTCTCTATGATAAAGGCGGAACCACATGTAGTACAACTGACTCTTAAACTGTCTCAGATCAGAGCGTGATTTTCCCTTTCCAATCAGGTACCGGTGGGCACGCTGAGGGAGTAAAACATGAATCTTTTATGAGATAAAAGATTTAAAGGAATAGTTCACCCAAAATTAAACATTTTTGAAAATTGACTCGCCCTCAGGCCATCCGAGACGTATATAATGGATTTGATTATTACTAGTGCTTTCAGACGATTAATCGCATCCAAAATAAAAGTTTTAGTTTACATAATGTGTGTGTGTACTGTGTATATTTATTATGTATGCATGTATATATTTAAGAAAAATATGTTATATTTGTATATTAAATATATTTATATATAATATAAATTATATAAATATATACATGTAAATATTTTCAAAATATATACTGTATGAGTGTGTATTTATATATAAATAATAAATATACACAGTACACACACATATATATTATGTAAACCAAAACTTTTATTTTGGATGCGATTAATCGCGATTAATCGTCTGAAAGCACTAATTATTACAGACACACAGGATTTCGATCCCAAGAGTCTTGATGGACTGGAGTCAAATGGATTACTTGTGGATTATTGTGATGTTTTTATTATTCACTGACGGCACCCATTCACTGCAGAGGATCCATTGGTGAACCAGTGATGCAATGATGTAAAATTTCTCCAAATCTGTTCCGACGAAGAAACAAACTCATCTAGCCTGAGGGTGAGTCAATATTCAGCAAATTTTCATTTCTGGGTGAACTATTCCTTTTATGCTCTAAACGAATGACCCCCAGAATCATCATTATACACCCTTCCACATTCTTTTCCCCTTGTCATAATATACAGCTTCCAAGAACAGGGTGTGGCAGCCGGGAACAACCACAATATTTTGGTTAGCAACAGGAAAAAAAAGGTGAATGTGTCTTTTTGAGAATCTTCTGCCTAAATCTTTACAACTTTTTATTTTTGTCATTGCCTCTAGAAACAAGAGGACGAGATGCATTTCTATGTGGTAAAGGATAGAGCTTGTGTTATTAGAGGGTGAATTCATACCTTCATGACTGCTGTCTCCAAGACAGCATCAAGAAAGGAGTTATTTTCAGTCACCTCCTCAGCGGTCACCCTCTCTGCCACACCAGTAGACCTCTCATAGTTGTCTAAAAGCTTCATGAAGCCTGTTGAGAGGTGAGCAAAATCACCATTTAAAATCACAGAAGACCATTTTTGTTTGTTGGTGAAAACAATTTGTGTCTGGTCATTTTGGTGGGTAAATATCATATTCACACATGTATATGAACAAATGTAAACCTTCCTTTACTTCATTTCTTCAAGATTTTGTGCAATTACAGTTTCAAATACTTAAGAAACCAAGTAGAAAGACTGAAAACGTATGCTCCTCTATGTAAAATATATGCTATTTTAATGCTGTCCTGATTTTCCTTCTATTCCATTTCAAATGTTGCTACTTTTTGTATATTAATATGCGTGCCTTACAAAGTTTGTATGTTTCCTGTCTTGTGTCGTAAATGCGCAATAAAAATATTTTATAATATTTCATGATTCTATTCAACTCGTACTGTGTATTCAAAATATGTGATGGTGTGGTAACATGTTGCAACAAGCAAACATGTGGATTCTCTCATAAATCAAAAGGAAAGATGGAATGCAACATAAAACATCATTCAGAATTCCAACAATCAACTTTAAGATTAACTGCCTGCCTAAACATAATTACATTTTATAAAGAATCTTGGTGTGTCCCTGTTAAAGGCATGTTTCAGCACAGCTCCTTGGATAAATACGCTTTTGTGCATACTGACGGAATAATTAAAGGGGTTAGAGGTTTTTACAAAAGAAACATACGTGCATACGTGGTCATGGAGTTCAGTTTGGCCTCATCGACACTGGTAAACAGTGGGGATGAGGCGTGGTCTACCGCACTGGTGCTTCCCTGTGGTATGTAACCAGCTTTGCCCTAAAAGAAATGTAAGACAATTTCATGTTACACTTGATCTGTCACTATACGTAATGTTGTTTGACATTAGAAAATACTGACACCTGTAGTGAGATATTGTAATGAGTCCCAGGCATCAGGCGATTCACATCCAGCTTCCAGAGCTCATTGAAAATATTTGAAAGCTCCTGGTTCACAGTTTGACTGAGAATGTAGAGAAACAAATGTATTGTATCAAAAACGTGTATAAAAGGCTTTTGTATAAATTGTATTAAAAACTTTTTCACTTTACCTAGATGCATCACTGAAAGTAAACAGTGCCGACAGCACAAGGATCCATCCAAAATCATACCTGCAACATACAAACATAAGTAACACTTATTACGATATCTTGAATTCATTTATCAATCTTTCATTAAGCACATTAACAATGTGAGTATATGCAGTAGGCTACATTTCATCCCATTTTAACTATGAACATAAATTATGCAATGAGGTAATTTAAGTTCATAAAAGTTCATCTCCTGGAACTTGCAGTAAAGAGAAATGAAAAATCAATGCAAGAAAATTTTAAAAAGCATTGAGAATTTTCCGATAAACAACTGATCAACACTAAACACATGAACTGAAGTGCTACTGAAAACATGATACTAAAGATCACGTTAAACTCAATGACCTTTTGCAAAACAATTCGGCTTTCAAAACGGAGTAAACAGAAAAAAAATATATAGACGTACAAGTGTATTTGCAAAACATATAAAAGTTTTCTACATACCCCTTGCGCATGGTTTTGGTTTGCTGCGCGTGCTCAAATGAACGCGAGTGCAGTTTTCTTCTTTTGTTGAAAGTCTTACTAGAGCTCTCCCGCCCAGTTAAGTGGCCCCTGGAGATGCTCTCATGCCTAAATACACCCAAATACGTCACTGTGTCGATCCACAAATAGAATAAGTGGGTAGAATAAAACTTTACTTCAAAAGGTAACATAAGTGGGTGGACCTTAGCAGAAAAAGTTGTCTATGTGAAGAATGATAAACCTAAATAATATTTTACCCATATTAACTTCTCCCTGTTTATTTTTAATTCACGGACTAATAAAATGTCATTATTAAAGTGTAAACTATGAACTTTGCAGAAGCATCACACGGAACACTTTGTCACAAGGTAACAGTGTCTTTTCTCCGCGCTGGTCAAGGTGGACCAATCACAGTCATGCGTGTTTACTGAATGAGGATTTGACATAATAATTTTCATAGGGACAACAGAGGAAGAATCCAATTTGTTTATCAGATAGTACTAATTTGCATGAAAACGATAATAGATTTGGGTGCACAAACATATTCAATAAGCCAAAGGACTTGCTGATATTTGACTGCGGTTCAATAGGGGATTTGGCTCTCTGAGCTCTTATGCGCCCCCTATTGGAAGCAATCAGAAAACAGTCACACAGTGACATGAAGGACAAGGACTCAATCATTTCATCAGTTTACTTCTAAAAACTGAAAGCAAAAACTGGACATAATGTATAACTTAAGTCAAAACCTAATAATGAAAGCATGGAAGCAACTTATATTCATTTATAGTTGCCAGTAAAAAGGATAACCAAATGGACTTCATTATAAAATGCTGACTAGCAACTATCTAGAGAATGTCCAAGAGGTGGCGCTATTGATTAATTTATGTACTGTCCCATACCAGGACACAAAATAATTTCCCACAAAAAGCGCTTATTAAAATTAAAATTTACGTATTTTTCAATTTCTTTTGTATTACAGTGGTGGCAAAGCCACAGCTGTACTGTGGAAAACGTTGCTATGATAACTACAGCATTTCTTTTGGCAGCAATATGTTACTCTTTGTAAAATGGTTATTTTGGAAATTTATGCAAGGACGTGCATTCACAAACTTCATTCTTTTACGAATTTCTGCTCTGAGAAGTGACAAGTCAAACAACATTCGTTGTAACTAATTGACACGAGTAGAAGAAACAATTAAACCTGCATGCTTTCAGTATTTTATTCACCTTTAAAAATGAGTAAAAAGTCAACAAAGTACAAACATGTAACGCTGAAATGGTTACGAGTGGCACTATATTTTCAATATATTTTTCAGCTGCTTACAATTTTGTGGACATGCCAGTATTGCATTAAAGATTCATGCTACATGATAGCATTTCCATAAATGAGAACATTATTGCTATCCTTTAAGTACTGCAGCAGCAGAAGAAAAATAATTCACAATGAACTTTCTTTAAAGTAACAATATTTTGCTAATATTATATCCAAATGAGGCTTAAATAACATGCAATCCTTTACAAACCAGATGTAAAATATATTGTACAGAGTTCTGCATGCAAATGCACAAAGCATATGCAGTATCAATGCATGTATTGGCTTGATAAACCAAAATGTACAGGTCAAAATACAAAAAAACCCTCAAACATCTAGACTTTAAGACTGCACCTGGATCGATCATTCAAAAATATTGATGATTATTGCTAATTTAATTATTGGCAGTGTACAACTTTAATTTATCAACAATTTAATAAAATATATCTTTAATTTTACCTGAAAGTGTCCTTGTGCTCTTCTGCCACCATAATAACCGGCACAAACTGAAAATCTGTCACAGATTTAGGCAGGCAGATGAAAAAGAATGCATACTGTATCTCTCCAATGACCAGCAAATTACAGTAGGACTGCTATTTATTTTAGTTAAAAATCATATCACATCGATCCACAAGAAACAAAAACGACCACTAACAATCTTAAAAACACACACACACACACACACACACAGGGGCAGACATTCTTCCATCTACCTTTATGAGACATAAATTATTAAACACACTGTTGTTAAAAGGCAATTGAAATGCGTTAAAATGGTGTTTCTATGAGTTGACACTTGGTTCTGATTGATATATTTGGCATTCAGATGGAGGTGCGTGTGTGGAGGTGTTGGCAGAGGGACTGGCACAGTCACTTCCGATTAAAGCAGCAGCACTAGGGGCGAGAGTGTCCCCGCAGTGCCCTCACACGTTGGAGTCATCATCCTTCACACTGGCATTGGGGAACGACGTGGAGATCTCCTTGAAGAACTCGTCCTCCTTCAGCATACTCTGAGCACAAAACGCGGGATGCACAATTTAGGCACAAGCACACTATATAAAGCAACACAAGTGAGATGTGCAGCTGCTTGTTACCGTTAAGTTGTTGATGCCCTCGGAGAAAACGCCAATCTGCCTCACAGTCCCTTCAGAGTCCTCCATCTAGGGATTGCAAAGAAGAACATGAAGTCATACAGGTGTTAATGATTACTCGATGATCACTTCATTGTTTTTAATTATTTGAATAAGGTTATTGACTATTGAATAATCAACTGAACATTTAGAATAATTAAGATATTTAAATGTTTTTAAAAGAAGTTTCTTATGCTCGTCAAGGCTGCATTTATATTATTAAAAATACAACAAATACAGTAATATTGCAAAATATTATTACAATTTAAAAATGCATTTTAAAATGTAATTTATTCCTGTGATGGCAAAGCTGATTTTTCAGTTGCCATTACTCTGGTCTTTGGTGTCACATGATCCTTCAGAAATCAAAATTATTCTTTGCCATCACAGGAATAATTAAAATTACATTTTAAAATGTATTACAATAAAAAAAATCGTTCTTTTAAATTATAATATTTCACAATATTACTGTTTTTACTGTATTTTTGATCAAATAAATGCTTTTGTGAGCATAAAGACACTGCTCACAAAAACATTTTAAAATCTTTTTTTTTAATTAGATATTAATCCAAATAAGTTAATATTTAGTAAATATGAATAATTTTGGTAATTATTCATCATTTAAAAATTAAACCGATACAAAACATAAATGCATTAAATTCAGTTGACTGAAACTTAAGGTGAAAATACAAATTATTTCTATAAATAAGTATACAAACAATAAATGTATTATATATTTATTTAGGCACCAGAAAACTTCTATCACTACCTGGTCGAATCGGTCTAGGTCATCATCATAGATCTGGAGCTCCATGCCTCTGTAGCCTTTCTGGAAGCTGCGTCCTTTGGGCATCTCCACATCCATGGGACAGACATACTCTTCACTGTCCTCTTGTTTCTTCTTCCTACCAAACCCTCCAAACGCCAACTTGTGCGGCTAAATTTGATACAGACAGCATTTGAACTCCAAAATGATTAAATCACATGCCAGCTCTGCAGTAGATGGTCTGGAGGTGTTCTGCATCATACCTTGACTTTAGCTGTGGCGGTGAGTAAGGTGTAGTCTGGGTTCTCTAGACACTCCTGCTTGAGTTGCTGGGCCTCAGAACCCACCAGCAGGTTGAAGTGAGTGGCCAGATGCCTCCGCAGAAGAGTCTTGTTTGCGGGAATATTTAGCAGCAGAGCCATCGTCTCCACATTAAAACGAGGTTCCAGCACCTAAAATCATGAACAAAATTATGCCCATTTGATAAGAAAAAAAATTGCACTTTTGCAGATGCTTTTACTTCATCTTTATTTTCACTGGAACAGCTTGGGGTCAACTGCTGTAATAAAGGTCCCGATATACTTTACATTTACATTTATGCATTTCACAGATGCTTTTATCCAAAGTGACTTACACTGCATTCAAGGTACACATTTAATAAGTTCTTGCTTTCCCTGGGAATCGAACCTATGACCTTGCTAGCATCCTTCTCTACTGTTTGAGCGACAGGAAGGCTTCAATTGAATCAAAGAATGAACATCGCGAACCAAATCTGTCCAAAACAGCTTGCCAAAGCAAACTTTCCGGAAAAGTTCACTCTGGCTGGTAAACACCAAACTACCATTGGTCTGTGGCAATTACTTAATAGGTAGATGTGCTCTGAGGCTCCGCAATTAAAAACAAACACACAGAGAACTGATTTATAGTAGAAATGTAAGTACTGTTTTTTTATGTTTAATATTGTAAAGCTATGGAGGACCAAACCTGCTAAGGAAGGATAAGTGATTTTAAATTAAATAATATAGTCTTTTGGGAATACTTTTTCTTTTAAAAAAAAAATCTGTATTTTTTAAAACAATTTTTATTATTTTTAACACTTACATTTTTGTATATTTATTTATGCATTCATTTATTTTATATTTATTAATTTACACATTAATTTATTTCCATGTTTATTATAAATAAATTTAACATTACTTGAAATGGCGAAATATTGAGCTGGTGCAAACATATGCACATCGCTATGATCTGATGATTTTTTAATTGCTGTTTTCTCACCGCTGTCATTTTTATTGTGTGTTTATTTTGTTATTTAGAGGAAAGCATGCAGCACATACTTTTTGGTTTCCAGTGCAAATCTTTAACCATTCCAACAAATAACCTAAACTAGTGCAAAGTTGTTTCTCACCATCAGTCCTCCATGTACTCCACTGCCCCTCAGGTTGGGTGCGTATTCAGCCAGATCGACGGACCGCAGCCACTCCATCACACGGTGGTTGGTCCATTGAGAGATCTCAGCAGGACTTATGTTGTTCTGAAATAATTGGTGAACATAAGGATTGCTAGTCTAAATACAAAAATAACAGGACAGCACAGATTAGAGTTTGGTCTCTCTTCCTACCTCATCTGAAGGTCTTCGCCGCAGACAGTTGGGGTCATAGTTGTTGAGCCGGAGCACCTGGATGGCTCTCTTAATACTGAGGTGATGAAGAACACTGCCCACTTTCAGAGATAATAGGTCATCCTGTTCAGCATGGACAGAAGAGTGTGGACTTCAACAACTTGTTTCTAATTACAATATCATTCAAGGATTTGAGGTCATTATGTTTTGTTTTTTGGAAAAAATTTATACTTTTATTCATTAAGAATACAAAAGTCACATTGTTACAAAATATTTCTATTTTAAATAAATGCTGTTCATTTGAAATTTTTAATTATAAAAGAATCCTGAAAAAAATACATCACAGTTTCCACAAAAATATTAGTTATCAACATCGATAAAAATAAGCAATGTTTCTTGAACATCAAATAAGCAGTTTAGTTTATTAAGCAATTCTTAAGGATCATGTGACACTGAAGACTGGAGTGATGACTGAAATTTAGATTTGCCATCACAAAAATAAATAAATCTTAAAATCTATTAAAGTAGGAAACTATGGAAGCCTATTTCCACCACTGAATAAAAAAATTATTCTCACAATTCTGACTTTTTTTCCTCACAATTGTGAGTTTACATCTCACAATTGCCTGATACAAACTCGCAATTCTGACTTTTTTCTCGCAATTGCGAGTTTATATCCCGCAACTCTGACTTCATGTCTCGCAACTCTGACTTTGACTTCATGTCTCGCAACTCTGACTTCATATCTCGCAACTCGGACTTCATATCTCGCAACTCGGACTTCATATCTCGCAACTCGGACTTCATATCTCGCAATTCTGACTTTATAACTCGCAATTCTGACTTTATATCTCGCAATTCTGACTTTATATCTCACAATTTTAAGAAAAAAGTCAGAATTGCAAGTTTATATGACGCAATTCAAAGATGTAAACTCGCAAATGCGAGAAAAAAAGTCAGAATTGTGAGATAAAAAAAAATTTTTTTTTTAAATCGCAATTGCCTTTTTAATTTTTTATTATTCAGTGGCGGAAACGGGCTTCCAGAGGACACACATATTTAAAATTGTAATAATATTTCACAATATTAATGTTTTTATTTTTTTAAATCAAACAAATGCAGCCTTCTTTCAAAAACATTTAAAAAATGTACCGACCCCAAAGTAGAAAGCTAATAAATACTGAATTCTAGCTTAACCTTTTAATCAGTGATTAAAACTTTAATTTATGTCAAAACGTGATATTGTCTGGGAAAAAGACTAACCACAGTCATATAGTGAAGCATCCGTCCATCCACACGTCCCTCGTCAAACTGAGTCTTGTATTGTGGGAGGCCGATATCATCAAGCCACCCTAGAACAGAAGGAAAGGGGTAAGAAAAACCTTTTAATCAGATACATTCAGCCTTAACTTAAGAACTTAACAACAAATCTGAAACCGTGGATGAATAAACATCCATTCCTTACTTGTCACCCAGTGGTAGTCTAGTTTGCCTTTGTTGTCATCTTCCTCTGAGCCCAACGCCTGCAGGGCCAGCTGGAGTTTCTTCCTGTGTAGAGGGTGTTTTATTCCCAGCTCCTGCATACAGAGAGCAGAACAGTCCTTAAACATGAATTTCAGAAGGAAAACTGATTATTTCCAGGCTTAAATGTGGTCTCAGACATTTGGACTCCACTATATGCTTTCATCCTGATTCTGAGAAATAAGAGCTCACTCTTTCCAGATCCTGCTGGGATGCCTGCAGGAGCGTCTGGCCGGAGGCGACCCACTGCCTTGCCAAACTCACATACAACCCCAGTCCCTGCTCCTGCATCCAATCACACACCTGCTCCCGGGACCAGCGTGCAAACGGAGCGTCCAGCTCACTGGAAAACACAAACAAGCAGATCTTAGGAGGTACAAAGACAGTGACTGATGGAGATATTTGCCATTTGACCATTTACTACAAAAATGTCACTCTGACAACGTCATAAATGAGATTTTACTGAGGAACTGAAACTCTGAATCGATAGAATCATGCAAGTCTGTCACCAGGGTGTTTCCCAACAGTAGATCTTTCCATTTTGAGAAGGAGCTCTATCCTGTGTCACTGTGATTACAGACCTGTTGGTGTTCTGCAGGTCACATGACCAGCCCAGCCTGGGCCCAGCTGTGGCTCTGACTAAAAAGTCCTGTTGTCACCACAGCAAACTACGTTACCCACAATACCATGGTCAGTCAAGCATCAAATAAACTAAAGATTATGGGAAGGAAGAACAAGGCAGTCGTTTAGTTAAAGAGCAGAGCAGTAAAAATGTCATGAATAATAGGGGAAAAAAACTACTGAACTTCCTTGCACTACTGGAATCAGCATCATGAGGCAAGATTGCAGATGACTTCTCGTCTGGACTGAAGAACAACTGCATTGGGTTTATTTTAGGAGTGGAACCATGGAACGAAGTCACATGCTGACATGCAAGTCAACACAATGGAAGTAATAACATCTCTGTTATTGAATGGCACTAAATCCAGCCTGAACGTATGGTAGTTTGGATGTGAGGGGAACATAAAGAGCTGTGAGAATGTGGTCAGAATATTTAAGTCCTGGGTAATGTGGTCACAAAATAACATGCGATGAGGACAGAACCTCTATATACTTCATGATTACCACATGAGCTCAATGTTTAAACATCTATTTAGTCTATTATTTTGACAAGAGGACTTCAAAACACCCATAATCGTCATTACTTCATTTAATATCATCTCCTGCTATGAAGAAAAGAAATGAAAATAAACCAACTTTAGGCCTAAATTTCTTACTTTCGAAATACAGACCTTTTTTTTTTAATCAAGCCTGAAGCTAATATAAACAAAGTGTTCCTTCCCACAATGTTATAATCACGATCATTTGGGTTTTCAAAATCAGTAAAATACTTGTTGCGTGTTTTGACTTTAAATTTGCTTAATATACTGACTTTGGGCAATAGCAGAGAATCTGTTTGAAACAGTACAACACAGTCAGAGAACCAATTGATTATGTGTGGAAATGCATGAAGTTGATGAATTTTTCATTGAAGGAAAGAAAGAAGTGAAGACACATCCAGGTTCTTCTTTGTCCTCCTTCAGAGAGGCCATATGGCAGGTCTAGCCCGTAAATGGGTGTTTGTACTCAATTTGGGCACTCTTGACTTATCAACATTTTAATCTAAATTTTTTTTTTTTTTTTTATCACTGTGAAACTGTAATTGACCATGGGCATATTGATCTAGAAGTAAGATAGAAGTCATACCTAAATTAGGGGCACTAGCAGTCCTTTTCCCTCCCTTGATCTTAAAGAATCCCCGTCCAAAGGAAGATCTCATTTTCCTGGTACCGAAGCTGTCATCCTCAGCAGTATGAGAAGAGCTTGGGGATTTGGGTGGTAGAGTTGTGATCTTGTTGAACTCATCAAATGCTTTGCTCTAAAAGTGCAGAGATAAAACATTTGAGAAACTTCACATAACCTTATGCATGTAATATAAAAAGCATAAATGTTGCACAAAATGTTGTTACTGTTCACAATCTATTAAAAATCATTTTCATTCAGTGAAACAAAGCTGAAATAAAATAGAATAAAATATAAATATTAGATGAAAAACTTCAACTTAAAAAAATTTAATGTAAATTGAAACTGCTGCTCTGGTTGAAGAACTAAAATTACTAAAACTGACAAATAAATTGAAGGTAAACAGAAATCTAATATAAATGACAGAAACACATACAATTTCTACAACTTAAAGTAAAATTAAAATAAAAATGAAAAATGTATAAATTATAATATATATTTATCATTACAAAAATTCTAATTTAATATAAAAACAACAATTAATAATAATAATAATATTAATGGTTATGGTTTAAGAGAAATACACTTTTTTGCTGACAAAACAAATAAGAATTACCTCTGCTGGCCTCTGATCTACTGTTAATGGCTTTTGGAATTAAAAATTGAACAAACTCACTTTCAATCACTTTAAATATTCAATATATTGCCTAACCCTAATAAAAACCTTAAAAATAAATACACTTTTCCTCAAGTCTTGATTGAGCTGAAATTCACCTTTTCACTGCCTCTTCCATCAAGGTTGCCCTGGCTTGCTGATTTTGTGTCCTCTGAAGCTCTAAAACATGAAAAGACATTGTTACCATCACTCTTTTCAACATACAGATGTTCATAACCACTATGGTAATGTGTCTGACACACACCTTGATACACAATAGTGGCATTTCAGGTTACCCAAAAACTAGCAAATCACAGTGTGCCGTTTATGTAACCAAACTCCACCTGACACACATACTCACTTGGGACTCTCATCTAATGGGGTCTCCAGTGATTGAGTTGGCTCCTGACACTCTTTCTCACTACAAAGGACAAACACACAAGCATTGGGATGCAGAGGTGGTGGCAAAGCATGATGGGTAAGCAGTGGGGTGTATAGACGGACATGCATTGATGTGCTAAAGGTGAGAAAATGATACTTTAAACACCACAGAATGATGGGATAGCATGAATAGGGAGACGTGGTCATGAACTCTGATATTTCAAAGGCTAGAAAGGATGGAAAGTGGATACTAACAATAAAACACAAGAAAGGAAACGCCTTCAGAGGTGCTAAAACTAAGGATAGGATGCTTGGATGCTGTAACATAGGTTGGATGCTCCGGAATGTAAAGCTACAGCCACAGTTATGATATAAAAGAATGTTTGCTTGTCCAGATTTTATTAGATGATGATCCTGCGTGAAAAAACAACCGCAGGAGACAAAAGGGTGTGTTTTAATGTACTGAAGTGTACCTTGATAACTGCATTTGTTCCAGGACTGAATCACTGTCTGCTTTGTCTGGGGATGAGACTGTGAGCGATGGCACTTGGAGTGTACTGACAAATGTAGTCGTCTACAGATGAAGAGAACATGCAAAGGTAAATTCACACCAGTGTATTCTCCACACCAGCATTTTCCAAAAGGCAGACCTCTGGAGGTCCATCTCAAACAACCTTTCCAGCATAAAAATACATTATTTAATATAACATAATGCAATATATCCTTTTTATTAGGGATTTTTTTATTTGTTTGTTTTTTATAAAGCATATTTGAAAACCACCACGGGTTGACCATAGTGCTGTACTGTACCATTAAGGGCATTAAAAAACAAGTACATTACTATAGATTGAAAAATAGAAAGAGAAGCTACACACTTTTTTATAAGTCTCCATGATGTTTCTAATTACTGTAATACAGTAAAAAATACAGTATTTTTTATTTTTACATCAGCATGCACACCTTTCAGAATGCATCAGTAATTTACAATTTAAATAATGCAGATTTGTTTTGTATTACATGTAGTGTTGTTACCGTTTACAAACTAATAAAATACATTTTCGTTCAGTGAAATCAAGGAATAAAATGCAGAAATAAAACATTTGAGAAACTTCACATAACCTTATGTATGTAATATAAAAAGCATAAATGTTGCACAAAATGCTGTTACTGTTCACAAACTATTAAAAATCATTTTCATTCAATGAAACAAAGCTGAAATAAAATAGAATAAAATATAAATATTAGATGAAAAATTTACTAAAACTAAAACTGACAAATAAATTGAAGCTAAACAGAAACGTTTAAAAAATCTAATAAAAATGACAAACACATTAAATTTCTACAACTTAAACTAAAAAAATAAAATAAAAAAATGCTATAACAGTACATAAATAATTCACTCATAAATAATTTAATCATTCACTCAGTTTTGGAAGTCCTTGGTTCAAAAAGTTCTACAGCATACATCATATTCCAAGGATCCATCACCTCTGAACGGTAATATCTGAAGACATTCAGTCACTTGCTGACAAGTGATTCTCTGCGTCTTGGATCGTCTGTGACAGTATGAGCCACAGTTTGACATGCTGTGTGTTCTGCAAGTGTTCAATTTGGCCTTTAGCTTGAAAAAAAACACCAACACAACTTTGCTGAACTGTCAATCAGTTTGTGTTGCTCTAAATTACGAGTAATTCTAGGTTGCAGTGCAGTGATTTTAGATTATGCATGCCAAAACAAAATATAGTTCTTTAACAAGGATGCACACTAACCACAAACGATGAATGGTGTAACCTCGAGGGAAATTTTATATGAATTTTGTTGGTCTGAAAAGAAAATTGTACCTCATTTTGACCCCTCACAGCAACTTCCTCTGTGTAAGAGAACAGAGACTTCTCCGTGTCCATGGAAACAGAGAGGGCGGTGGACATGGAGAGGGAGCTGTCGCTATTGCTCCCATCACTGTCTCCTTCTTTGACCTTATCTGATGAGAAATACAGGAGAGGAGGGAGATTTTGATCATTAGCTCGGAAAACGCCACACAGCAAATACAGTCTGTCACTTATCAGAAGCACATTAAAGGATTTAACTAATTGGATGAAGCTCTAGAAACCACATCCAGGTCACATTTCACCCCAAAATCAATATATAATATAATATAATGTAATGTAATAATATTTATTTTTGTGATAAAGAAGTACATTTACCTCTCATATTCTGATTTCCCCCCCCCTGTAATTTCCTTAGTGGCTTCTTATTATTGTATTATAGTAAGAATTACTGGAAATATTATTTTTATTTTTATTTTTACATCAACATGTACGCCTTCCACAATATTTAATTTACAATTTAATAATGCATTTTTTTGTATTACAGGTAGAGTTGTTACTGTTCACTAAAATTATTAAGATAATTTTCTTTAATTAAAGTAATGCTAAAATAAAATATAAATATTAGATGAAAACTTTAGCTTAACCAAACTTAAAACAATTAAATGAAGGTTAGTTACTAAAACTAAAACAAAGCTAAATAAGAAATGATAAAATGACAGAAGAACTTAAAATTAATAAAACAAACCAGAATTAAAATAAAAACTAATTAAAAATATTAATTAATACTATAATAGTATATAAATAATACTAAAATTACACTGATTACAGGAAAGACATACAAATTTTATTGACATCACTTCGGAATTTTTTTATTAAAATAAAACAAATCACCGTTTCTCCCTTGTGCTGACATGACCATCTCTTGTACTTTCTTGTAACGCATGAGTGACTGTCGCAACTCTTCAATCTTGCGATCCTACACAAAGCATCATTAACAGCATTAAATGCCAAGTTCCTTTATGATTTTCAAATGCAATGGGCAAAGAAACTTATGACTTAAAACTACCTTTTCCTCATTTGCCGCCATCAATGACTCCATTGCTTTCTTCATCTTCTGTACTTCCATATCTGCAAAGCACAGGCTTAGTAAACTAAAGACCATTTCATAAACACTAAAGGGCAAAGAAACATTAGGCCTCAGGCTTGACATTTAGCATCACATAAACTGTAGACAGACATGTTGAGCTGAAATACAACAGTGACCTTCTGTGACAAATGTGAGAAATGTACACAACGAAAGCAAGGAGGAGCTTGTTGGGATTAAACGTGAGTATATGCAGCCACAGATAAGAGTGGACGTCCAGCCTGTGAGGTCATGAGGAGTGTGAACATGGGTTACGGGCAATGCACTATAATGGAGGGAAGAAACTAGCTTTGGGGAACAGGAGGTGTTACATTACAAGGTGACAGGCAAGACAAACAGAAAATAATGTAAATGTGACATGCCAGATGGCGACCACAATCTGACTTTTGTCAGGGCTACAACATAAGAACGGATTGTTATTCATTACTTCTTTCCCTTTCCTATACCTAATATCTTGTATTTTTAAATCCATTAACTTCCTGTACGACTGTAATTTGCAATGCTTCGTGTTGTAGAAAAGCAAGCTTCATGAGTACCATGCCCAAACATGCAGGCACAGGAAGCAGAGGACTAAGAGGACAAAAATAGTACAAAGATTAAAAAACTGAAAAAGGGGTGTATGTGTAGAAGGTAGACATGGAGTCCCCTTACGTTTCTCTTTGAGCCTCTTTTTTAATGTTTCCGCAGTATGGAAAACTGTTTAAGACAGAGTAATGATATTAAACGTCTTCTGTTATTGAATGTGTTGCACCAATAAACCGCTATCAGTAAAATGATACATAGAAAAAGACATAAAAACAACAGGGGAATAATAAAAAAATACTTAATTTTAAAAAAGAAAAAAAAACTATAATAATAAATAAACCACACCAAAATAAACAACAAGGAAAAACAATGGTAAAAAAAAAATCTAAATAAACAATCAATAAAATAACAAAAACAATCAAAAATCTAACATAAATAAAAACCAAATAAACAAAAACAACAAAAAAACAATAACAAGGAAAACAATGCAAAAAAATCAATACAAACAAACCATAGCAAACAAATATAAATGTATAAAAACACAAGTAAAAAAGCAAAAGAAACTAAAGAAATAAAAATAATTAATAAATAAATTTATTAATTTTAAAAAAGCAAAAAAACTATAATAAATAAACCAAATCAAAATAAACAACAAGAAAAAACTATTGTAAGAAATCAAAACAAACATTCAATAAAATATAAAACAAATCGAAAAACGAACATAAACAAAAACCAAATAAACAAAAAAACGAAATAACAAGAGAAAACAATGTAAAAACATCTAATCAAAACAAACAAAAACAAAGCAAAAAACAAACAAACAACAAAATAACAATGAAAACGATGTAAAAAAAAATCAATACAAACAAACCATACCAAACAAATATAAATATATAAAAAACACAAGTAAAATACAAACAAACAAAAGAAACATGTAAAAATCAAAAGCAAACAAAACAAAGCAAATAACTAAAATCAACAAAAATGCAAAATAAAAAAATAGCACAAATGAATTCATATAATAAAAATTGATTGAGCTTGATCTACTCTGACAATATTGAGCTGAAGCTTGACTTTGCAAATTTAAAATCGCAAATCAAATCGCAATTGCAATATCTGTCAAAAAAATCGCAATTTGATATTTTCCCCCAAATCGCACAGCCCTACTCCAGATAGTACAGTACAGCATCAGAGATACAGCATAATGACAAGACAAAACTAGACCCCTGTAGGGCATGCTGGGACAGGCAATACTGCAATTACTAAGTGTGAAGAACAGCAACTATGCATGACCCACCTCTCTCTGTGCTGTCTAGGCCTGCAGGCGTTGGGGATCTGGACCCCATCTCATCCTGCAGCCTCCTCAGATCACCATCTCTGCCATCCAGCTGCCTTCTCAACGTAACCAGCTCCTCCTGAACATTAAAACACACACATCTCACAACTCTGATCCAAAGTCTGGACCACCACTGAAGTTAACAGGTTAACCCAGCGATACCAAACCATGCAGCTACTAATTACTATCAGAGAGATCAATAAATGTCACATGCAAAATGAAAGTTTGACACAATGTTGTAGATAATATATCGGATTATCTCACAAACAGCCAAATATTCAATTAATTAATTATATATGTGTCTACAACTCATCAAGATCACATTCAAGAACTTAATGAGTTCAATGCATTGCCAGGGTGGTTGTGAAGTATATAACACCAAAAAAAGCTACAGAAACACAATCATGCAAACCTCACACTGAGCTTTTTGAAGCATGTGGATTAACAGTATGCTACAGTAGGAAGTAGCGACAGAAATAGCTTCTCCTGCATTATAAAGCAGTCTGAAATTTAGCCCTCTCAGCTTAAACATCACGTAGAGCCTCACACTAAAGCATACTTGTGGTTAATTAAACATGCTGAGATCTTATACTGGTGCCACTGCTTATAGAGGAGGGCAGATTTAATGAGCAGCTTTCAAATCATGATGAGAACTTTGTCTGTACAAAATGGTGCAAAATGGAGGGCTATGGAGCTCTCAGTCAAACTGAGACAGTAAAAAAAATGGCTCATAGGCTCATTACAAGTGGCCTAAGAATGTATTTGGACTTTAAAGCAACACTGAATGTCAGTACATTGTTAATAAACTATTAAATGTGGCCACTGTATAATATTTAAACTTTAAACTGAAGCCTTCATTAAAAGTGCCAAAAAGCAAAGTTACAGTGAAAAAATAACTAAAAAAAATCTTTGGATCACAACCACATGCAGCAACCACCCTGAGGTATGCCGACCTTGAGTGCCTGGATTTTTTGTTCCTTCCTCTGTTTCTCATACTGCATCTGGCCCATTTTGAGTTTCAGGCTAGAGAGCTTTGCCATTAGCGACTAGAGGCAGAGAGGTTAGCCAAGGAGGAAAAGGAAAATAGACACTTAAAGATAACAAGAAAGATGACAGGTTATGTAAGAGAGACAGAAGACGAGAATCCCTATGCAAGCTTAAAGATGGTAACATCAATTGTTGTTTTCACTTGTAAGAAACTAGCGTTGAAACTCACCTTAGTGGATTTCAATTTCTTTTCATACTGTAACCGTTCACTCTCCATCTCAGAAATACGGTATCTCAGTTCATTAATCTCCAAAATCAAACCCTAAAAAGAAAAAACGTATTTAAAAGGCAAGCAATCTCCATAGAATATCACAAAGTGTATCAAGCATTTTAGCAACAAATTATTTTTAACAATGTTAAAACAATGTTATTTAACAATGATACATTTACTGTAAAATAAAAGCTATATGGGTTAAAGTTAAACTGCCGACTGCATATGTATGCTGCCAATTACATAAAAAATAAAATAACATTTACATAGAATTTAAAAAACTGAGGGACTTTAATGCATGGAATCTAATAATATTAATAACTCATTTCTAAACACACATAGACTTATCATGGCCATATTCCTAAACAATTTTGCTTCAAAGGGCTTCAAAGAGAACCCTACTGTCAAGTTTGAAATGGTTTGTTTAACAAACAGACTAGTATTCAAAAAAAAAAATCTAGTGACAAGCTTCCATTCAGCACACAGGCCTTTCAGGGCCAAGCTCTTTGTCAGGATGTCTAGCATTCAGTCATGGATTTATGATTCAATAAACAACAGAGCAGCCTCTAGTTGTAAACACTCAGTGAAAAAAAATACAGATACATCCACATGGAGCAGTGATCCGGAAAGCGTAAGGACAATCTGAATACACTACAGTTCAAAAGTTTGGAGTCAGTACAACGGTTTTCAACTCTGATGATAAGAAATGTCATAAATACTTCTTAAGCACCAAATCAGCATATTATAATGATTTCTGAAGGATCATGTGACACTGACGACTGGAGTGATGACGGCTAAAAATGCAGCTCTGCCATCACAGGAAAAAATTACATTTTAAAATATATTCAAATTATATTCAAATAGAAAACAGTTATTTTAAATTGCAATAATATCACAAAATTACTGTTTCATTGTATTATTGATCAAATAAATACAGCCTTGGTGAAAATAAGATACTTCTATACTTCTTTCCCAAAAATATTTTAAAAATCTTACCGGGCAGCCACAAAATTTTAAACGGCAGTGTAAATCGAGTATTTCAGGCTACAGTAGTTCTGATAGTTCTTCAAAATCTAAAATGACATATTATAGTCTTAGTCTTAACAGGATAAAAAGAAGGTATTTTGGGAAACAAACTGGAGTCTTGCGGAGACGGTAAATTATGTGGCAGCAAAATAACAGGAAACAGCAGAAATAATTTATATCTTTGAAGAATGTGTTGACCAACCTAGACCAAACACACTTGCCAATTTAGTGCACAGTTTAAACAATAAATAATTTGTATATGCGTTCTACAATACTCTAGGAAGAATGAAAACCACAATCACAAAGAAAGGCCTGAAATGGAACGTTTGTCAACAACAAGAAGACAAAACCTGTTTTCTGTGGCTGACTGTGAACACACAGGTGCAGAGACTGGTTCATCTCCATGACCCTAATCGAAAATCATCCTGCTTTTCTCCATTTTTTGATGTTGTTTGACTCAGAAATACGTGTTAAAGTGATAACAGCATTTCCCAAGCCTAAATAAAACATGTTATGGACAAGGACCGAAAGCAACCCTGGACAACAAGGCCAGCTGCTCTGGAGTTCATAAGTTAATAGTCTGTTTTACACCTAGTCTAAAGTTGCTAGACTTTTAGCAAAAAACAAAAAAAAGATCCAGTTTGCATTTGGGCCAAGAAACGCCCACTTTGACAGGAAATGTATTTGTGAACTGGCCAAACATCGGTTTAGGGCAGGTTTATCTGAAATAGTTGAAACCACTGATGTGGAAAACCATTCCAATGGATTCCATCACCATCTCGCTGAGGACCCTTCCTACTCACATTCATCCACAGTGGGCCATAGTCCTTAGTGGTAATGACTACTTTCTTGAGAGAAAAGAGGCCACCCAAACCATTTTGGGTAAATGGTATGTGGTAAAGGCTGTTTTTGCATTTGCCATTTTGCCCAGACAGCAAACAAAGCAGAGAATAGTTAAAAGCCCAACATTCCAGTGCACTGGAACAGATTTCTGTAACATGACGTGATTGGTAGATGTCCGAGCGCTAACAGATCGCATTGTTGAATGCACGTCTTTCTGCTTCAGGCTTGTACAGAAACAAAAGGTTGGCTATACTGCAGAATCAAGAATCTAAACAAACATTCAAGTAATTTTCCAGCAAACTGCAATATGTTAAAGCGGTCAAAACAAAAGAGCTCTGTGTGCCAACGGCGGAATCACAAATTAACCAATGACTAGCATTATAATTAAAGCACAGCCACTGACATTTTCAAATAAAGACATCCTTACACAATTATTTCGCTCATGCATGCGTTCATGTTTTTTACCTCACTATCTCCAAATCTGTCATCAAAATCGAGTCTCTCTTTCTCCATTGCTGTTAACTTCAGTTTTAAGTTGGAAACCTCTGCCATAAGCTCCAGCTTCTGAGTCTCAAGGGCTGATCTGCAGAGGAGTTCCTAGGAACAAAAGTTCACAAATGGAGCATGTACAAAGAAAATCGGTCTTATGAATTAAATTTTATGGGCTTCTGCTTGTAATTGCACAGTATAGTGAAGACGTGATAGGAAACTAAGGGCTGAAAATAAGCTCTAATGTGCAAAACGCACATGTACCCAACCACCAGAATATGTCTCCAATAAACAAGGCACATCTTTAAACCCACCTGTTGTAACATTTCTTCTGTGGCATTTAGTTTCTCACGGTGTTCATCAAGGCACAGGTCTAGGTCCCTTATCTTTTCTCCTTGCGCCTCCACTTGATCCGTCAAAACACTCACCTGCAAAGAATGTGATTTTATTTTATTCAGCAAGTATGCATTAAATTCATTAAAAGTGACAGTAAACACATTTGTGTTTAAAAAATATATATATTACAAATAAAAAAAAGAAAATGCTGTTCTTTTGAACTTTTCTTTACCAAAGAATCCTGAAAAAAATTGTATCAGGGTTTCTACAAAAATATTAAGCAGTTTTCAACATTGATAATAATAAGAAATGTTTCTTGAGCAGTAAATTAGCATATTAGAAGGATTTCTGAAGGTTTATGTGACACTGAAGATAAAAAGAATGGCTGCTGAAAATTCAGCTGTCATCATAGGAATAAATTGCATTTTAAAATATATTGAAAAAGAAATCAATTATTTTAAATTGTAATAATATTTTACATTATTGTATTTATGACCGAACACAAGAGACTTCTTTCAAAAACATGAAAAAAATCTTGCTGACCCCAAACTTTTGATTGTACAGTACATGTATGTATATACAAAGTTACCTGAAGCACAAGGGATTCTTTATCACTTTCAAGACGATTAAGTCTGTCCTGGTAAACATCACCGGTGATTGAAATGTGTCCATTTGACTGTCCAAAAAAACACAGAAAAATAATTTATTATAAAAGACTTCTGGAATCCAAAACAATATGGCTTGAAACAGTAATACTGAGGAAAACAGGGTCACTTGTAGGCATGGACCGATTACCGGTTTCAAGGTATACCGTGATTTGAAAATTTCACGGTTTCAAAACCACTAACATTTTCCGTTGTACCGTTCCTGCGGTATGCGCTGTTTTTCATGTCTCCTCAAAGACTGAAAGAAAGTGTAGGAAGGAATCCCTCAGGTTGAGTGCCGTGAGTGACACGACCCCCCTCCTGTTGGTGCAGCAGTCAGTCACGTGTGTGTATGACGGCCGAAGGAGCTTCCCCTGGAACTTACGCGATTGGCAACCAGATGTTTTTTTTGTTTTGTTTTATTGTAGCCGATCTCTGTTCTGGACTTGCACAAACTGAGTTGCAATGCAACCATATTCCAAAATGTAATTTATGTGAAAATATGAAGTCTGTAAACGCCCGTTAACACAAGCCAGAGAGACGCTGAAGATGGACGCACAGAGAAAATACAGTAGCAGACAGTAGCAGAGCTAACTGTTCATGATGCACGAACTATTGGAAGAAAATCTGACTGCCTTCTGAAAAGTTTAGATGGTATTTTCATCTCATCTCTGTATAATTCACATTAAAGCAGTGTTTCAGCGCAGCGCTGCTTTTTTTACAGTGGTAACCAAGGAAACGTATCTGCTGTTCCATGAGCGCCTCCTGCTGTCAGAGAGTGAATCTGCGACTCATTCAGAGAGCTCCTGCTGTTTGTTTCGTTCAGGCATGTATAATTACATTTCAGAAACAAATCAAAGAAAAAAATAAACAAATACTACTGTACTGTTCCAAATACTCTGTATGTTGCTAAAAAATAAAATATATTTTGTTCAGTGGGAAAAAGTTTTTTTTTTTTTTAACCCAGACATTTAAAAATAACACATTTTAGAGCTGTAACAACAATACTGTGATACAGTGAAACGGTGATATTTTTGCTTAAGGTTATCATACGGTCAAAATCTCATACCGGCCCATGTCTAGTCACTTGAGATTTTAGGGTTTTCATGCACCATTTATTGTGCCAAAAAAAAACATTAACATTGGGTGAAGGAACATAATAATCCAGGTAAACTGACTAAATATGACACTATGTGTTGACTTTCCCTTGGCAGTTGTTCAATCTCTCAAGACATACAAGAATAATGTTTCTCGGATCTGCTGTAACTAATATCTTGAGGCAATGATAAAACGAAGCTGCACTGCATTCTTAATTATGAATAGAACTACTGCACATGATGCTATAATACCTCAATTAATAATTTATAACATTGAACCCTTATTACATCAGAATGAAAATCGTGAGCACAGGCCTAGCAATACCACTAAAAATACTTCCAACAGACACAAACCAACACACAACATACTTTTTCACAACATCATTGAAAATAGACTACAGGCTAATAGGAAAATAGACTTCCTATAAATAAAGGATGTATAAATAACTATGTACCTCCTTACAACATGGCAACACATAGTATGTTAGCTCATGTTCACATCCAGAGTAGACAGTGAATTCCAGAGTTCTGGAATGTGGTGTACGTACCAGGTGACCATGCAGCCACTCCACCAGACTGTCTGCAGTACAGTCTGGGATCTGACAACGCAAGCTCTCTCTCTCCTCAGCGTCCATAAGCTCCAGAACACCCCTGAGGTCCTCCAGTAAGTTCAGGGCTCGCAAACTGCCCATGAAGGGTGATGTTGGGGACTGACAATCAAAGATGCCATTGGAGTAGTCCAGAGCCTTGGAGCCTGAGCGCCAAAGAAAAATAAATAAATAAAAGCAGTGAATGGGGAGTTGATCATATTTTATTCAGACAATATTATACGCAAGAAAATTGGTGGAGCTACAAGTTATACATAAAATGCTCATGAGAGCGATACAAGATTAAGAATCTCTTTTACAATAAAGCACAATGTACGGCTTTTTTTAATTAAGCAATCATTATAAAAAACACAATTATCATGTACTGTTCGTGGCATAAAAGATAGTATGACCTTATAATAAAGCATGCTGTGGGCAAATAACCACTCAAGTTCTGAAGTTAGAACCAGGGCAGAGGAAATGCTTTAATTGCTAAAACCTCAATCATGTGATCTGACAGGCGACTCAAACTTGAAATGTCAGCCTTATAATAAGCCAGTGATAAATTACTTCATATGCTAGACCATTTTGTCAACATACTAATATCGGTCCAATCTTACTCTCTTTAAACCTCAGTAAGGTTTCATGAAATGAGTCTGTGACATTTTCACTGCAGAACATTTCCAATGTGGATAGAATGAACAAATTTACCAATGTGAAGAGAATTATTTTGTCAGGTTTAAATGTGGAGGGACCGTTGGATTTGGAATAGGAGGTTTTAATTCACTTTTGGTATGGTTAACAGAAATGCTGAAAAGCCTACATGAGTACAACTTTACCTGCTATAATACCATCCATTTGCTCCAAGGCTGCTGCCAACATGTCACTGGCATCAGACATCATCTTGTTAAGCACTGTTTATCCTGAATAAAGAGGAAATAACTAAATAAATATTACAGTAAGTAGCACAAAATGCATTTAGACAATCTCTAAAAACATTAATAGAAATCTTTTGAAGGATTAGGCACTGAATAAGTCAAAACTACAAAACCGAATGAAGAAATAAATGCCATTGTGCTGCATGTTTGATACACGACTAATGTTATTCAGGAAAGTATTACACAGACACCAAAAATTTGTTTAGAATTTAACAGAATCTAGAGCCAGATCAGAAAAACATATACAGAGGCTGAATAGACAGAAAAATGTGATCTACTGTTATTTTACTATTATTTATATATTATTATAATATTCATTATATACATTTTAAATTAGTTTTTATTTTTATATTTTCAGTTTTCATTTTATTTCAGTATAATCAGTGTAAGTTTTAGTATAAGTTTGTTTTATGCCCGTTTGTCATTTTTATTATTCTATTAATTTCTATTTAGCTTTATTTGAATTTCAGTTTTAAGTTATTTTAATTTCAGCTTTAAGTTTTAAGAATTTTATTACTTCAACCTAAACTTATTTATTTCAGTTATCTGCCATGGCAGCATTTCTAATTCTAATTTTGTTTAATTTCATTCAAGTTAATGATAGCAACACTGATGTGAGCACAGAAACTACAGTGCATGAAAGTATATTTCTCAATCCTTCCCATTGATCTTCATTTCTAACTGCGTATTCATCAGGACGGGGTCTCCCTGTGATGGTTCCAGAGAGCAGAGCACATCCTTTGGGTGAAAGGTTGGCTGGCTCTCAGCTCTCTGCTGTTCCCTGGGTAACGCAGTCAAGCTCCAACCATTAGCCACAGATTTAAAAGAATAACTGAGCCATTTATTTCAATTATTGGCACAGAGCTTGTGCTGCCGCTGGGGACACTGGGTACTTTGTTGGGAGACTAGCGGGGTCACATTGTTAGGCCCTTTTGGCTCGTGGCCCGAGAACACAGCGGTGGCATTCTCTCCGTTTTAGTCCTCAAAACAAGGAGGTGAAGAGACACCCTGTCATGTTCATGTTATATCCCATGCACCAGTGTTGATAAATTTGTCTGCCGTAATGCACAAATACAACAGGCCAAAGGTTAACTTACACATCCGAAAGAAGGGAAAGTGTGCTATACTAAGTGGAAGTTCAGTTTTTCTGCATAGAATTGGCTTGTGATCTAAGTCAGATGAGCTATTCAACCATTTGGAGGCATTCAAAGAAATATGTGAAGCATAAAAATCACAATGCATCACTCTGAAATTATGTGTTGTGGTTAAGGACGATCCTAAAGGCTGTATACTGTACAGTGAATTAGCAGTTAATAATTCTTTAAAACGGGTAAACACAAAATTTGTGTAAGAAGCACGTAGGGATTATCAGAGCAACTTAGTTTGACAGCAAGCCTTTTTAAGGGTCTTGTACCATAAAAAAATCCCCTTATCGTCTAATAACCCAGCTCTGTACAGAGTGTACAAGCAAGTTAACACATTTCATTTGCAACATTTACACTGGCCATGATCTCACTGCACCAAACCTGTTGTCAAAGTACTAAATACGGTCAGAGGTGGGTAGTAATTTTTGGAAAATGTAGAATTAAAGGTGGGTACTTTTACTTTAACTCAAGTACATTTCTAATGGAAAAAAAAAGTACTTTACTTCATTACAATGGTGACATTCCTCTTGTAACTTAATTTGTTTCGCAATATATGTTAAGAAATGTGTAGTTTATTCCAAGCGCGCTGTCTCTTTTTTCTGGGGCATTAGCGATGACCCATTCACAACTGAATCACTCTTAAGTCGATTCACTTCAGAGAATTCTTGGCAAACAAGCTAGCAAAATGGTCTGAATAGGTTTGTGAAACAGTTTGAATTATGTCTTCAGTTCCATGCATGCACTGAATCTTGCGAAGCTGTTTCTCACTCGTAATGGTTGAATGTTAAATTTAAGAACACAGAGAATGTAAAGAGTGTTGGATGAAGTGGCCACGAACCTACAGCAAACTGAGACCAATTCTGTAAATTCATCCTATGGTTTGCCATCGATGAAGATGTTTATTAGTTGAACACCTGTGTGTGCCGTCTATGAATGATTCAGGTATACATTTGATTTTTATCTCAGATAACATATTTTCCAACCAAACAGATTATTATGCTAAAAGTAGATCCGTCAGTGTGCATTTGATTTGTTATGGTCAGATGTTTTTTCTTCTCTGTCAGTGGTCCCTTCAGATGCATTCAAGCACAAAACTCTGCAGGTTTGCTTTTTGATATTGTGTAATAAATCTTAATGTAGCTGTATATATTATAAAAAAAATGACATGAAATTATACTGGGGCTACAGATGAAATGCCAGGAACAGTGCTTGTCTCTACTGAGTTTGTTACAATCTAATTATGACTTTAATATAATCATTTAAATAATCGAATATTAAATAATAACGTTATTGTATTATAGATACACACACAGTACGTCATTCTGTAACCGAAATGTCACTTTAGATCAATTTAATGCATCATTCCTGAATGAAATATTAATTAAAAATATATACAATATTCAAAGGCAGTATCCTGACAGTTTAGCACAAAAGTTTAATTAAAGTTTGCTATCCAGCCACTAGACATTACATAAGGCCACTGCGAGTTATAAAAGGGGACTGACTCCAAATATATGTATGCACAGGCTGATTTGAGTCACATCTGTTAATAAGTAAATAAGCTTGTCAATACCAAACACTGGCGGTGTGAATGTAGCCAGTTTGTTAGAAGAAAAGTGGATTAAACACTTTCCTCTGAAGAGTTTTCAAAAAATGCTGTGAAATCAAGGTCAGAGTAAACTAATGCGCTTCACTAGTGTGAAAGGTTTAGTTTTTAAAATAACAATTCTTTGATCCAGAACTATTATGGAACTTTTCAATCTGGTCTTTCAACTATATATAAATAACAAATCAAAACCTTGTCTGGAGACTCCTGTTATGTCTAGAAAAGTTGTGCTACACAAACATCACACTGGCGGTCACATGTTCACACAGCAAGCTTTGGTGCATTTTTTCCTGCATGTTTCTAAACAGTTCTGTCAATCTACATTAATATCACTATTTAGAGCAAATAAAGCAGCAAACAAGAACTCATTGGATTTTCTCTCTCTGTCTGGAAAGCCTTTTATTATGAACTAACAACCACGCAGCGTAGACTCAAGCTAAGCTCAGGATGCTTTGCATTGCAGATTTTTGCAGGGCTGGAATTTCCTCTCATGGCGGGAACATGGTGGCTTCCAGCCTGTAAAAAGCGATAACACGTTCTTTATGAAGCTCATATTTCCTCTCTGAATAGTGTGAAGTCAAACAGAGAAATCAAGACCCCGGGTTCAGATCTATCAACATCAAAACGGTTTATGCACATGCAAAAACACACCATGCTGTCAAACAGCAAAAAGTTACAGCACAAGTATTTTTCTAAAACCACAGACAAAGGAAAATCTTGAAGTACTGTATTTGCTTCAACAATCCTTGGAACAAATCTTACGAGAAAACATGCCAATAATGACAATAAGTGGGAAGAAACTGAATGTGTGACATAAAGCCTGTCCTTTGTGTGGAAATATTTTCCTGGACTCAAAAGAACAAGCCTGTAGGTGCAATTGTCAAAAGGAAACAGTCGGCTCTGTTTTTTGAACGTAAATAAATATTCCTATTTGTACTGTTCCCTGAAAAGGGATCAAGATGGCATTAAATACAAGGTTATGAATATGAGCATGAGAATGAGAATAAGGGGAAAAACCCCTAATGGCCTCTGAAATCCATCAGACGGGCACCTAAGGGCACAATGTGTATGAACTTTATCTACTCCACACTCTGTTTGAGCCGTATTAGCCACTATCCCTCTCTGAAGCGCTCTGACTGACTGACAGAAAAACCTCTGCTGGCACATGCTGGGGAAAAATAGCAGCCTTCGGGTCATTCATCTCAACAGAAATAAAAGCAATTATGGCAGGCCAGCCGTTTAAGCCAGCAAATTCGCCTCAAGTCAAGCTAAAGCACGCATAGAAACATGCTGGAGAGTCATGGGAAAGACATTTTTAATGGCCCTGTATGCACATGTTAATCTGATAAATAAATATGTACGGTACGCCAAGCTTTCTAGTAAATGCTGATGTTAATATTTTTTATTCACTGAAAAAACAATGGGCGTTAACCAATAAATGGCCAAAAGTAAAATTCTCATTTTGCTAAATTACTTAAAAAAAAAAAACACTACAAATTAAAAACAGTTGTTTTAAATGTAAATAAGTTAATTTAAGTATCAAAACATCATAATGAACAGTATGAAAAATGGATATTCATTTATTGCTTTGATAAAGATCACATTTAACAGTGTCAGTCTTATTAAATTATTAGGATTTCTAAAGATTAAATTGAGTGATAGATGATGGCAAAGGTAATTCAAATATTAAAATAGGTTAAATGAACAGTCATGCACAATTAAATATTCAATATCAATAAAGTAAAAAAAAAGTACAGCATTAGCAGAAAACAGAAGCTACCAATAAATCATGCATCACTAGTCCTTTGATAAGTATCAAATTCATGTACCATGGTACATACACATTTACACATACACATTTGAGGTCAGTAAGATGATTTTTTTAAAGAAATTAATACTTTTATTTAGCATGGACATGTGCATGTTTGAGGTCAGTAAGATTTTTTTTTTAAGAAATTAATACTTTTACATTTACATTTAGTCATTTAGCAGACGCTTTTATATAGCACGGACATATTAAATTGACCAAAAGTGACAGGAAAGAGTTTTACAAAAAATACATTTTAAATAAATGTTTGTTGTTTTACTTAAAAAAAAAAAAAAAAAAAGTATCATGAAAAAAATTATCATGATTTTCACAAAAATATTAAGCAGCAAAACTGTTTTCAAAATTGAAAATAATAATAAATGTTTCTCAAGCACCAAAATTATTTCTGAAGGATCATGTGACACTAAAGACTGCAGTGATGGCTGCTGAAAATTCATATTTGCATCACAGGAATAAATTACATTTTAAAATGTATTTGAAACAGAAAACAATCATTTTAAATTTAATATTTTAAATAAATATTTCACAATATTACTGCTTTTACAGTACGTTTGATCAAAAAATGTTTGCCTTGGTGAGCATAAGAGGCATTTTCCAAAAACATCACAATCTGATGACCACAAACATTTGTGGTCGTTTAGTGTACATCATACACCAATTCATAGAAAACCATGCTATTACCATGATACATGTTCAACACAAAACAAATTGTATTGACATGTTAAATCCTTTTTTTTCTTCGATTTGAATTTGTTTTTATCAGATTGATTGTGCCAGTAGGTTTTTATACACTGATAAATGCTATGCCTGGTTTCACGTGGATGAAAAAAAGCAGTCAGACGTGATCGCAGCGTCTGAGCCAAGCGTAGAGTTCTAAAAGATGTTTGGATCTCGTGCAAGTACTAGAGGAACACAGATGTGCACAAGCCTTCAGTCCAGCCTGTGCATGTGGGAGGAGGACAGCCCCTGCTTACAACAGGCTCCTTTTCTTACACATGTCAGAAATAGAAAGAGAATGGAAGGTTTTTTTTTTTTTTTTACTTAACTCCACTCTTTCATATTTGTGGCTATATTGGGGCATCACTAAGCAGATTTTTATACATAAGCAGCCAATGAAACACCACCGCGGACTGTTCTCACACTCAAAACTTCTAAAGGGACACCCTTCTGACACTGATCTGAAATATCCTGTCACTATACTAAGCCAAGGCATCGTTGTAGAATATGATGCATCATACTTCACATAACCACATGGAACAGAGAAGGGACGCCTGTTTGAATTCAGGGGTGTTTCATATGCTATCTATAGCTAACTGTAAAAATAAAAAAATTCCACACTGCTTAGGTAAATGCACAGATGTGTTTGCAAATATATAAGTGGATAAAGGAAAAGCATGTGTGTGTTTTAGCCCTTCGAGATGGCAATAGAGTTTGTTACACAACAAATAAAGATGGCTGATGAAACCCGCAGGCTTACTTTGGGCTGCAAACACAAGATTTAAACAGCAAATGATGCTCTTTGTAATCTTTCAATAGAGGCAGCTACTGTAAACATCACACCATTTACACAATATCACAGATGTGTGACTGAAATGGACTTAAATTACAAGAACAGTTACAAGGACAAAGCTTAAAACTACAAAAAGCTTAAAACTAGTTGAATAGGTACAAAAAAAACAGCATGTAACCCTGAATTAAATGTTACATTGTGAAGTAGAAAAGCTGAAATAGTATTTTCTTGTAAATAACACATAGGCCTATTTGTATAATTTACAACTTCGAAAAACATTTTTTACAGTGTAAAGCAGGGTTAATTATCACACACTTTACTACAATATTATTTCTGAGAGGAAGTTCATTTTTAAGTCAGTTTCTGTATAGACACATACCTTAAAATGCTGGCTACAAAAATAAACTGCTTTATTGCCAGGAAAAAGCTAAAGCTGACAAAAATATTTTGTGACAGGCTTTTCACTAAAACACTAAAACAATTACAAAAGACCTAACAATACATTAAACAGAAAACATGTAAAAAAAAATAAAAAAATAAAATAACATACAAAAATATCAAAACAAATTACTACTTGTTGAGAATGCAGTTCAACCTTTCAGTTAAAATCTATAATCATTAGTTTTAGCTATTACAAATTATGATACTATTGTTTTTTTGTTTGTTTTTTTGGATTCACAAAAGTAAGTTAAAAACTAGCTTTGTAACAACATAAAAATCACACAATTGTCTATGTGTTACTGATTTGGTTCAAAACCATATAGTTACTGATATTAAGCCTTTTTGACAACTTCCAGTGTGACAACTTGCCCCTGTCTTCCAATGCACATCCAAAAACATATATGCTGCTGCACACTACAAACTATAAAAAGTTTATTTAAATAGAGGAAGTCACTCCAAACATATTTCTGTAGACTGTACAGCTAAAAAGTAACAATTACGTTCTGTAAGCTCTGTCTCAGTCCAGATCACAGGTGAGGATGCGGTAAAGCAAACATGTAAGAGCAGCTCTTGTTCTTCTGTGGCTACGTGGAATGTGTGAATCACTTCTTCACAAACACAGCTGTGCCGCAAATACCTAGTTCTGCTCTTCAAATCACACCTTATGTTTTTAATTGATTTTAAATAGTTTAAAATATACCTTGAGTTTTATTTTAAGTATTGCACAATACCTACAAACATCGCTTTGTCGATCCGGGTTTCTGAATATAACCTCATACACATGTACATAAATGCTTTCTGTAATCAATCCCTTAGGCTATGAAAATATTGCTACGTGTGAAGAGATGATAATTTAATAAACTATCATAACTACGCACAAAACTAACTTTTTTACATATATATATATATATGTGTTTTTTTTTTACACAATTACAAGAAAGTTTCCCACTCAAGCAAGTTTAGGAAGCCAAGTAAATTCACAAAGAACTAACTTATCAGTTAGTTAACGTACTTTGACAACAAGAATGCTGTGATTACTTACCGAATCTGGACCGCCTTCTAAAGTATGAAAATATTAATCCGTGGACTCTTTTCTAGCGTTTTAATGTCTTTACGAGATTTGCTCTTTCCGTAGTTGGCGTTCCCACCTCGCCAGCGCCATGTCGACAATGAAAGTGGGAATGTGGGACGTCATAGGAGGGAACATACTACGGTGAAGGTTTGCTGCTTAATATTCATGAGCCGTATCTTCACCATTGGATGGTCACTGAGCCATCTAATTAATATTCAAGAAAACACTTTTCGCTATAGGAAGGGTACTAAATTACATCACCACTATCTAATTAATATTCACAAGATGAGCCTTCGCCATAGTAGCATTAGTAACGATAATGGTGTTTGTGTTTGCGTACGTTTGGTCATACTTGTGAGGCATTACTTCACTTACAAATAGTGAAACATGTTAAAAAAACAACTTTGGAGCACTTCGGAAGTGTTCGTCATAAATCAGCCAAATCGTGTTGATATGCTGATATCTGTGTGAGGGTTAGGTTTAGGTAACTAAATGAACCAGATAATGTATTAAAACATTTTTGTATATGGTATCAAAACTAATATAGTGAAACCAACATGATTCTGCTCAGATCTCTTTATTTACCTGTCATTTAGTCTTTTTTAATCTAGCACACTACTGTCACCAAAGCTATATCTTTGTCAAAACTGAGGTGTTCCTCTGAAGTCAGTGGCTCAGATGCTGGAATAAGGCATGCATATACAAACTGCAAGTTGACAAGACCAAAAGATTTTAGATTCTGTGTATCAAAACCTAGTGAGAAATGCAGAAGAATACTGAAGAACACAACTGTTGTTCATTATAGAATACAGACAATAGCCTAGAGAACTGAAGCTGAGATATCAAGTCAGAATACATCTGTTTCTGTACATGATATGTAGCTTAATATGTAGATTGTATGTAAAATAATTTTACTCCAAATGAAAGTTATAAGATGGCACAAGAATCTGATCCATTATTTCAGTATTTTGTAACCAATAGGCTAATCAAACTCAAAATATTCGGGTTTTTTTTCTCCTTTTAAATTTTTAATACATTTTTTTGATTATACAAATACATAACAACTTAAGGGGGTGAGACTGAGACTAATATTTAATCAATAAATGGTTTCTCAGTAGAAGTTCTTATGCTTGGCAGTATAGTATTGACATAAGATTCTGCCTTATAAGAACCTAAAAAACAATTATTTACAGTAGCTATTTAGATTTACTTTGTAAATTCACATGGTCTACATGAAAAGATACATAATGATTTAATAAATTTAAAAAAAAGATAAATAATGATTTGTTCAGGCATAATTTCAGTACAATCAATTAATCAATATACATAAATGTTGCATCTAACATCAAAAGTAGAATGTCAATTTATAGGTCAACATTACAGCAATATTTCACCCCCAAAATGAAAATTTGCAAAAATGAAAAAGATGTATTTATCCTCAGACCATTCAAGATGTAGATGAGTTTGTTCTTCAACAGAACAGATTTGGAGAAATTTAGCATTACATCACTTGCTCACCAATGGATCCTCTGCAGTGAATGATGGATTTGTTTCTTACAAACACGCAGCTTTTTGCTGCACAGGGTGTTAATTGATGGACTGGAGTCATGTGGATAGCTTGTGGATTATTGTGATGTTTTTATCAGCTGTGTGGACTCTCATTCTGACGGCACCCATTCACTACAGAGGATTCATTGGTGAGCAAGTGATGTAATGCTAAATTTCTCTACACCTTGTTTGGGCTGAGGGTGAGTAAATTTCAGCAAATATTCATTTTGTGGTGAACTATTCCATTAATTTAAAATAATCATACTGACGAATGCATGAACGTCTCATCTTTAAGGCATTCACAACAGCCCCATCACAATAAATACTGTAACAGCCATGATCTCCTTTATACTGAATGTAAATAGACCCACAGATTTACAGCACTGCATTGCCTTTGAGAGGCCTCTCCATCTTCACTGTTTTTGGATCACACTCCAACATCTCTCTGATCCATTCGTCATTCAGCGCGCCTTCAATGAATTCCTCTTGACTGATAATGGCTATAGAGACAGAAAGAAAAAGAACTTCTGTAAACTGCCATTTTCTAGTAGTGCTTTGAATTTCAAGAGTGGTTGAAATAATTTTGCTATTTTAGATAGCAATGTAGCTTGTATTGATAGCGCGTAGCTTGCCATTGTTATCTTTGTCCAGCCGTACAAATATCCTATTGGTGCATTCTTCAGGAGTCAGTGGATCAGGTTTGGTCAGACATGCCGCAACGCTCATCTTGTACACAGCCTGAGTGAGAGAACAGTCATGAGAGAATATTAATTTGTGAGTATATATTACCCTCTAGTGGAGCAATCCAGAATCACGTAAACAAACTGCATTTTTAATTCCATAGTAAAATGCAAATCAGATTAGAGCAGCAAGTAATAGAGGTTTTCAGCTATAGACACTTACCTGCATGATTTCCAGCATCTCCGAGCGTGTGATGGCTCCATCTTTGTCTTTGTCATAGAGTTTGAAGGACCAGCGCAGCTTCTCCACCGTCGTGCCCTCAATCAACATGCTGATAGCTGTCACATATTCTCTGAACTATCTAAAATGTAATAAGTAGTGTAACTATTTCAATTACTTTATTAAAGTATGGATTAATTTTCAAACATGTAAACCAGGCAGGGTTAACCTTACAGTAGTATACTATTCAACACTGATTACTGTCAGACTTTCAAAATCCTTCATCTTTTGAATTAAGATTATAATAATAATTTATTTTTAATAATTTATTTTTATTTTTAATAATTTTAAAGCACAGCCACCACAAAATCAGACTTACTTTGAGATCATTCTGAAGTTAATACAGATTTAAAACCATAACAAGAAATGGTTTAGTAGCTAGCTACGATACTGTTTTTGAAATCAAATCTTTGCGTAGCTATGACAGGAAACACTGGCATAACAATGGCTTGGAAGAAGCTGTTAATCTTAAAAAAATAAAGCATATGCATCAACCCAAATAGGAAATAAAACAGTTAACAGTGTCCTAAACTCCTGAAAGGTGTCTCATATTTTAGAGCAGTCACTGCAATGCATTTTTAATTCCATAGTAAAATGCAAATCAGATTAGAGCAGCAAGTAATAGAGGTTTTCAGCTATAGACACTTACCTGCATGATTTCCAGCATCTCCGAGCGTGTGATGGCTCCATCTTTGTCTTTGTCATAGAGTTTGAAGGACCAGCGCAGCTTCTCCACCGTCGTGCCCTCAATCAACATGCTGATAGCTGTCACATATTCTCTGAAATCCACAACTCCATCCTGTTAAATGGCAATCATATCATATCACACTTTTTATACAAATAGTAAAAATTGCTAAAATAAATAAATAAGCTATTAACTTAATTATTATAGGTTTTATTCAAAATGCAGAAATGCAGAAAATGAAATGCAAAATGCAATGTTTTAATAATAATTTTATTTAGCCTACAGTTTTAGCAGTTTTGTTGTGTTTTTGTCATTTTTATTTGTTTCTTCTTTATATGTATATATAACACTGGCATAACAATGGCTTGGAAGAAGCTGTTAATCTTAAAAAAATAAAGCATATGCATCAACCCAAATAGGAAATAAAACAGTTAACAGTGTCCTAAACTCCTGAAAGGTGTCTCATATTTTAGAGCAGTCACTGCAATTTATGAATTAAATCAATTTGATCTGTATGTGGATGCATGTGGGAAAAAATTCAGATGTAACCCCCTATGTAATTGTTAACATTTTCATAAGTAACTGTAATTTAATTAAAAAATTTTTGTAACTGTAACTGATTACAGTTACATTTATTTTGAAATTAAATTAAGTAATTTAGTTACATGTAACTAGTTACTTCCCAACAATGTACTGTATATATTCTACGCTACTTTACTTTTCTAAAAACCTCCGCCTTTTACAAGTCAAGTCAACATACACACGCATGTTTTGTAAAGCCAGTGTTTTGAACACATCACATATGTCAGGCCTCAAAGCTTGTTTGGTTTTGAGCTGTGAAATACCCCATTGTTATCTAGCGTGCGGAATATCTGCTCTGCATACTCCGCTGACTCTTTTCCCGCGGTTCCATTGCAGAAGTGACGTCTGAACTCATGGAGAGTGATCAGTCCACTGGGACATTCATTCAGGAACTTCCTGCCAGACACGAGCACAAAAGTGGACACATTTTTAAAACTATTTCGATTATTATTGCTAGTATTATTTTCTGAAGAGCTTTTTATAAAGCTGAAAATGTGATAGTGTTGTTTAAAACTGATATCAAGCAATTATTTTCTCATCTTAAACCACTGATAAATATTAACCGACCTTCGGGTTTTCAGCGTTGCAATATAGATATTGTATAGATCCAAATAAAAGAATTCAAATAAAATAAATACACATTAAATAAAAATACACTTTAAAATTTTATTAACTATATTTTTATTTGATATACAAAATCAAAAATAAAATAAATACACATGAAATAATCATTAATTCAGTGAGTTTCCTTGTAATTATTATTTGTAAAATGTACTATTAAATTCTGAGTACAGATTTTTCAAAGAAATCCTACACCAATTTTTTCAGTGTACAGACAATGCATTTTTTGACAATTTTCTCTTGACAACCATAAACCAGGTAATTGATTTCTAAAAATGTGTAAAATTGTATAAAATATGAATATTTTAACAAATATGTATAATATTAATTAATACTGGTAGCTGTTGATAAACACTTGATAACTTAAAGATTTTGTGTTGTCAGTATTATATGATCCTTTCTAGAACAGTTACATTATGAATGATTATTAAAAAAAGGCAATGTTCTTATCATGCACATCATGAAATGAAATGTTCCAGGAAAAAGACTACAGTAAAAGGTAAAAAAAAAAAAAAAAGACTCAAATAAGCAGATGACCTACTTATGCTGAGATAGCGTTTATATGGTTTTACGGTCATGGTTGGCATTTTATGGTCTACAATAAAAATCTTCAGTATGGCATGACCCTTTCTTGACCCCATTTATGGTTATAATTACTCCCCAATAATAAAGACCCAGAATGAGGAGGTTTGCTTTGCACAAAAGCATCTATCAGATGACATGTAACCAAGCTTATGTATTCTACTTTTACTACCCGCTTCACTAAAGCCCAGCTGTAGTCATAGTAATATTTTGCAAACTTACCTGAACCACTCATAAAGCTCGGTGACGTATGTACCACCTTTTCTGCAGGGTAAAGTTGCGGCCTGTCCCATCTTCATCAGTGCAAGAAAATCAACAACGGCAGAGATGCATATATAGCAAAGCCCAGCTTACTTCTCTCTCACTTAATCATTCTTACCCAGACCCTTCTGCATCTGTGAAATTAAACTACAGTAATCTCCCCGCAGGAGGTCGACAGACAGGTGAGTGACACAAATTAATTACCTCAAAGACACATGAGTGACACTTGAAATCCTCTAGCTCCTCCAGGCCCAGCAGCAGTCAAGGACTCTGCATATATTATATAAATTGACAGTTGCAGCTCCATATTTGCCCTTTGAAGTTTTAAAAAATGTGTCAGTTGTTTGTGAGCTGGCTTGTTCTGGTGACCTAGTTAACAAATGGTAAAAACCATTTTGTGCATGCAGCTGAGAAAGCTGGTGAATATTCTTAGAAATGTGAATGAGGACACAAAAACCATCAAAGACTCTCACGGAAGACTGTGGTTTAGCTAGATTCATCGTTTGAGTCAGCATTGGTCTCACTCTTGATTGAACCGCTGAATGCACTCAACAGCTTAAACAAGCAGTGTAAAGGTGAACGGTTAAGTTTTGTTGACATCAAATTGGAATGACAGGAAGAGGAATTTACTGAAATGTAATTGAAAGAATTTTAGGAATTTCATTAATCAACAGGTTCTGATCCAATTTTGATTGGTTATGGCTATTTATTCGCTGATAATATAATAAGTTGTTTACATATTTTTAATAATAATACAAAGTTTGCTAATATTAAGATTTTTCTAATTTAAGTTAAAAACAACTAAGCCATTTTATCCAATCAGCCTTCAGTTATAAAAAAAAATATTTAAAATGTATTTATATGTATAAAAATGTTGAATTTAGCAGTGGAAAATTTATATTTGCATCAAAATGTATATAATATTGTAAGCAAGTATTAACACCATTCAAATAATAAATCAAATGATCAAAATGCAGCTGAAATGACACTCCAAAAATGCTTAAATACTAAAATAAAATGTGTAAAACAGCTATTCAGATGACCAATTAAATGTTTAAATGTAAAATCATTTTGGAGCATCTTAGTAGATTTTTGTAGACAAACAAATTTTATTAAAACATTCCAATGGGGGAATGAAAATTGCGTTTCAGCATTTACATTTTGTTAGGATAAAAAAAAATAAAAAATACAGTTCAAAAGTTTGGTACGATTTTTTAAAATGCTAAAAAATGCTCACCAAGGCTGCATTTGCATTTGATACAAAAATACTTATAAAACCTGTAATATTGCTAAATATGATTGTAATTTAAAATGTTTCTATTTGATTATATTATAAAATGTAATTTATTCTTGTGATGGAAAAACTACATTCTCAGCAGCCATTACTCCAATCTTCAGAGTCATATGATCCTCTCAAAAATCGTTCTAATACGCTGATTTGGTGCTCAAGAAACATTTCTTATTGTTATCAATGTCTAAAACAGTTGCGCTGCTCATTATTTTGTGTAAACTTTGATACATTTCATTCAGGGTTCTTTAATGAATAGAAAGTTCAAAGGAACATTTATTTATAAACCAAAATTATTTGTAACATCATAAATGCCTTTAATGCCACTGATCCTTGCTGCACAAAAGTATTAATATATATTACTGACCCCAAGACATTGAATAGTAGTGTATGAAAATTTACGAGCAAGTGTATGAAAATTTACGAGCAAGTGTGCTAATAATAAAAAAAACCCTACACTTGCATTAGTTTAGAATATTAAAATCTTGCAATTTCATTCCATTTCCTTATATTCAAATGACAACTTCCTACCTCCAGGAAATGAATTGGAATTTACAAGGCATTCATGACATCTCTGAACATTTGTACATTGACACATGACAGACCAACACAGATGTACAGGAAACTAATGTTGTTTATTGAAGAATCTTTCTACATGTCAGCCTGGAGAGACAGATTCTCTGCTACTAACCAGACCTGTTGACAGCAGCAGCGATGGCGTCATACAAATTCTTGATAACAAACAGGGGAGGAGAAGAAAGTAAAAGACAAAAAAGGGGCCTGCCTGGACAAGGCCCCTTGTTCCATGACAGCCTTGATCGAAGGCTCAGAGAGAGCGATGAGGAGGTGCACGCATGCAGGTCTGGAGGCTGACCCAACGGCTGCTCCCCCGACTGAGATGTTCACGTCTTGAGAATATCCAAACCACTTTCATCACACACTCAAGACAGACAGAAACAAAGGGAAACAGAACAACGAGCAAGTATTTGTCTGTCTTATAAGGCAAAAACCTTTATCCAATACCCTTAGATAGCTAACAGAACAACAAACAAGAAGTAGTAAAGAAAAGCAAAGGATACACAAAAAGGCATGCATGAATGAATATCACTGGATCAATATAAAATCAAGAAGTTCTTAGGCTACACATAGTGAGAGAGCTGAAATTAGGACAAAAGCGACAGAAGAAAAGGTCTGCGGTTCTAACCTACGTACAGTACTTGATTTCTGCCAAGTGCAACTGCAGAACGACACTCCAAACAGAACATAGTCACATTAAAGGAATAGTTCACCCGAAAATGAAAATGTAGTCAACCCTCAGGCTATCCAAGATGTAAATACGTTTGTTTCTTCATCTGAACGGATTTGGAGAAATGTAGCATTACGTCACTTGCTCATGAATGGATCCTCTGCAGTGAATGGGTGCCGTCAGAATGAGAGTCCAAACAGCTGATAAAAACATCACAATCCACAAGTAAGCCACACAACTCCAGTCTATCAATTAATGTCTTTTGTGAAGTGAAAAGCTGTGCATTTGTAATAACGCAAGTCCTCTATTCATAATACTGTTCTCTCCAGTAAAAAAAGTACTCTCATCTGAATCAAGAGAGAAATATGCACACCTCTTACATGCGAGAACAGTCCAAAACAAATATTCTGGTGGATTTTAATGTGAGAGATCAACAGAGGATTTTTTTCACTATAGAGGACGTGTTATAATGGATTATGGACTTGTATTTTGGTCAGAAGCAAGAGTTTTAAGTTAAAACGCCTTAATGATGAATTTGTTTCTTCCAATCACGCGTGTGGATTATTATGTGGAAGTCGTGTGGATTATTATGATGTTTTTTTCAGCTGTTTGGTCTCTAATTCTGACGGCACCCATTCACTGCAGAGGATCCATTGGTGAGCAAGTGATGTAATGCTAAATTTATCCAAATCTGTTCCAATGAAAAAACAGCCTCGTCTACATTTTGGACGGCCTGAGGGTGAGTACATTTTCATTTTGGGGGGAACTATTACTTTAAAAAACAGTGAAGCTATGTGGGGGAGTGGGAAACACAATATAAATCACAATTTTGTCTTTTAGGACAAGCCTGCAGTTATGGCACAGAGCAATGCTTGTACATTGGGGGCAAACGAAGCAGCTGTTCCTGTGCTTAAGGCTACAACTGCCTAATCAAAATCCCTAACTGGTCATCTTACCAGAATAGTGATAGGCTAACACATCTAACCACCTGTGTGACAAACACTTACAGTCGATCCCATGAAATTTCAGTCAGGTTTAAGGAAAAGCCCCATTTATATTTCTTGGTAATGCGTTACGTTTGCAAAGCCAAGCATTGGATGAACAATGGGTCGTGGCAAGACTTATTTTCACACTAAAGATGTGCACAGCATTTCATTTCAGTTGGATTGGGTGGGTGGCTTCCTCCCTTCAAGTAAGCTCTTGGCAGCATGTGACAGAGTAGACAATGATATGAAGACATTTTTTAAAAAAGCAGCTCACACTATAGTCACAGAATTACAGATCATCTGACAGCACAGGGCAGCTGAGCGTTAAGGGTACTTGAAATATGTCTGTGGTCAAATAGCTTTGGTATAATCGGTCAGAATCAGCCGTTTCCATCACGCAAGGCCATGAGACTCCTGTGGCACATGTGCACCGTCACAGTAAAGCAGTTCAATACACTTATCGTCTGAATGAAAGGTCACCAGTACGAAGGGAAGCAAAATTTCGGAAGAAAATGTGCAAAATCAGATACAAAGCCATGCTGAAATGTGAATTGATTGAGGTGAACGATTACCCAGGGGAATCAGATGACTTTTTTTGAAAATTTGAGAAATTTAGAAAGAGAAAAAGCAGAGAGAATCAGTATCCCAAGGATGTGCACACACAATAAGAATTCAAATATAATATACAAAATAGGGAATATTACAATAAATGGCATTTGATAGCATCATTTTAACAGCCTACAAAGATCATCTGCCCAAAAAGAGGTGTCATGTTTCTGAGATTGTAGCCTTCTGAGAAAACAGGTTCAAAACTACAGCGGACATTGTCTTTGATTTATCCATTTAAAGATTAATTTAATACTACTAAAACATGGCAAAAACATATTCTTAGATCTCTTGTCTTCAATTAAAGTAATAGTTCAGCCAAAAATGGAAATTCCAGCATTATTTTCAAAACCTGTATGATTTTCTTTCTTCTTTATGACTAGAATGCACTACCTGACTTTTAAAATCAGATTTCAAACCACCAGGGATCATACACTTGCGAACTCATAGACTTAACAACTGCAGATGACACACTACTAGACTTCATAGTCATTTCAAACACAACAAACGCACTAAGAAATGTGCCTTGTTGCTAGGAGATATATGACAAATGAAAACAATGTGTGTTCTAAAATCAGCTCAAAATACCAAACATGTCTGATATCTTCCGACTGAATGGAATCATAGTCTGAAGCTAGAAAATCTGAATCTGTGCCCAGCATTCAACGTGATTTTCTGTGAATCTGTAAAAGCTGCATGCTGGCTCTGACTTTTGGCAACTAGCATCGACTCCTCCAGACTGTAATTAGGGCAAAAGTCTTGTAGTGTATTCTAGCCATAGGATCAAATGCAATATTGAAACTGAGAAAATTGCATAAATTAAATTGGAGATCTATGAAGGGATAAGTTGGACTATAGCGCACAAATCTTATGAATTACTTCTATGGTGCTTTTTATCGTCCTTATTGAAGCTTGAAAGCCCATGGTCACCATTAACTTTCATTACGTGGAAAAGAGCAGAGTGAACATGCTTCTAAACATCTCCATTTGTGTTCCATGAAAGAAAGTCATACAGGTTTGTAAAGACATGAGGGTGAGTAAACGATACACATTTTGTCCATTTTAGGGTGCATTATACCTTTAAAAGTGGGTTACTATCAAGACTTCATGGCTGGATTTGTATTAAATATCTTCTTGAAGCAGGAAGAATGTGAAAAAACATCTCTGCTGTTATTTTACTGCATAAAAAGTGATTTTGTTAGTATTTTGAAGCCGAGTAGAGATTAGGTTATTCCCATAACTAAAATTATGGGATATAATTCCAAAATACAGAGTTTAAACAACAATCACCTTCTAAATGTTGATCACGTTGAGCATGTTATACCTCTTTGCACATAACTAAACAAGAAGAACTAATGAAAGAATGAAGCCCTGAAGAAGTCTTAAACACCACTTTCACACAAGTGTCTAAAAAGTGGTACTTTGCTGATCCGCTAAAGGATTTTGAGAAGGGTTTCCATGAATTGCTCCCTGAGAGACCCTGCCCTGCCCATCTCCATCAGGACCATCCTTCAGAACAGCAGAACTAATACATCTAACTAAGAGGGCAACAACCAAGAACATTGTCCCAGGTCCTCTAAAAATGTTGTCCCAGTCCCTGTAAATTTTAGTGGCGGCCCTGTTTTTAGAAAAGCATAGCCCTGGCAGGACAGACGAAGGTCTGAGGGAAAAGTACACATTCACACACAGGTTTGTAGACTAGAGAGGAAAAACAAATGTCAGGCCTAACGGTGATCCTCAATTTTCTGATTTTTCCACAGTCTTTTCAAGTAGTTCTGTTTGACAAATGACCACAAGCACTTACCAAAACCCCTCCCCGTTGTTCCACTCTTGTTCATAAAAAAAAAAAAAAACATTGAATTCAAGACGATTTCTGCTCTAAAAGGGTAAAATAACTACCAGGCTTCCCTTGCCAAAGGAATCCCATGACGTTTTTTTTTTTTTTAATTTAGTCCAGCTTTGCCTCAAAAGCATCAGTTCAAGTGTTGATTGACTAAGGAAACCGTTTTGAAATCCTTACGCCACTGGATCACAGTGGACCATTTGGGTTCTTGCCTTATGGCTTGGCTGAGGCATGCGTTTCTCAACATGGCAAAACAGGCCAAGAATGTCTCTCCGTTCTGATCCATGCCAAGGGGCAGAAGTGACCTCAGAGCTGAGGTGAAGAAATGCACACCAGACCACATAAAACCTGGTCCTGTTGCTTAAGGTACTCAGCTTAAGGTACTCAGAGAGACCCCCGTCCCCTTTGGTTCTCCTTCACCAAGGGCAGCCATCAGATAACCTGCCATGCAGCTTGTCCGTACACATTAAAAAAACACTAATAAATTAAAAACATGAAAGCCAAAGAATTGCCGAAGGCTTGTTGCCCCATGAAAATTAATGGATGGTTCGTTTTAAAAAGCTCCAGATAAGATGGGTCTTTTAAAAAAAAAAAACTTGAGCGGTGTTCACAGAGACCAGTGCATCTCGTCAAAGTCCACGGCCTCACCCAGGTTGGCATCGGTCTCCAGTAAGCTCATAATGACCGCCATGGCTGCCTCGTCAGTGCTCAGAGCGCCTAACCCAGGAACCCCCTCCAGATCCAACTGAGAGCTCCCCTCTGGAGGACAGGAACACAGGCAAAGAAAAGCAGAGTGAGTGCCATTTTTAAAAAGATTTTAATTTGGTTAAAGCAAAAAATCTTTAGCTTAGTTTAAAATATGTAGATTTAATATAAGAAATTACAGAACAAGAACATATTGATTTTATTTGTAATCAATAAAATTTATCATCATGATATTTATCATCATTTACTAATTAAATTTTAAGTATACTATTTATATATACTAACCTTTTATACTATACTAACCTTTTATAGTATACTAACCTTTTCTCCAGGAAAAACCCAGACACATTCTTGACAAGCTAGTATCTTAAGTACCACATGGCCAGAGTAATATAATAATGTAACATCTACCCATCAGACTTTCTCCCGCTGTGAAGGCCCCACCCCTCGCTTCCTCCTCTGAGCTTGATTTGCCAGGCATCTCCACATCTGTCGCTTCCCCATTTGGCACCTTAAAGCATGTGAAGTACTAATGTGTTAGAACACAAGAAACCACAAAACATGGAAATTAATTTCTAAACAGACTGACGCATTTGTTTGACAGACTAACATTGCTGCTGGCCTGCGCAAGGGCCAGTGGAGACTTGTCCTGCAGTAAACTGAATGGACTTGTATTGCCGCTGGATGGTGATGAGTTCATCCTAAAGAAAACAGCATGACATCAGAATTCAAAGATCTTTTCTTTAGGGATGTGCAGAACTGCATATTTAAAAAAATCAACTAGGCCCTAATTGACTATATTTCCAAGAATCTTTTGCACTGCTGCTAACAAAAGAAATATATGATGTATAGTGCTGTCAAACGATTAATTGTGATTAATCCAAAATAAAAGTTTTTGTTTGCATAATATATGTGTGTTCGGTGTATATTTATTATGCGTGTATATATATATATATATATATATATA